TTTTCCACCTACCTGCTGAGACACAAACTCTATTAAGAGAATGAATAGAAGCTGCTATTGGCGACATTTGGATCAGTAAACTAGTCACACTGGCTTCTGTTATAAACTTGTCTTTTTTTTTGCTTCAGTATTTATGCTTTCTTGTTTCAATGTGTTATTTATTTTTTAACATCATTTGTATTTCCATTAGAATGCACTCTACCTTATTATTTTGTTTATTTACCCATTCTTTCTTTAATTTTTCCATTCTTCTATCCATTCAGTCATCTATACTAAATACGAACAACTGTGCCAGAAGCAAGAGATACAAAAATAATCACAACATCATTCTAGTCCTTAAGAGTTCATAGCTCCATTGGGGGAAAACACAAGTAAATAAAACCTTTTCCCCTATTTCTTTTCTTTTTATTTTTTCTTAATATTATTCAATCTAACCTCATAGTCTCCCATTTCAGCTCAGCACAGTGAGTCAGACACAAAAGAAATCTTTTTCTACGTACAAGGTTGCTTAAGTGAAGTTCAGATCAAGTACACAGATTCCTTGCTTATGCAATCACATGTTACCTCTGGGTAACTCCACTGTGTTAAGGGCTTCTGGGGTCTCTCGTTCATTTGACAGTCACGCTCAGCTCCTAATACAGTAAGTTCTTCATTTCACGGGCAGCTCTGTCACTCCCAATATCTCCTGGGACTTTCATGCAGACTAAATCTCTCCTGATTACCTTTCACTCCTGTTACCACCTGTGTTTTTGAACCTCGCTGTGTATCTTGCCTCCCGTGGTTGACTGCTCCCCTCTATTTGTCTGCTCAGGACCCACTACCTTTGTTACTCAAAGCACCATCAACGCTGAGCTGTTCATACAACAGCATCTTACAGTTCAATATTCTCATTAGTATGCCAAAGTTCTGCAGCTCTGTGTGTGGAGGGATGTATCCCTTTCTTGCCATCATATTAGAAGAGGTCTTTCCCACTTTCTTTTTGAGAACTTCCCCATTTTCTTCTCTTGAGAATTCAACTTTTCTCAGACTTCCACACTGTCAGACCAACTTCCAATTTTCTACTGTATTATTATGCAGCCTACTTTAGTTCTCTGTTGCAACTCTCTTATTCTGTACCATATGTAGTGTCCTTACTCTTTACCACAAAGAAGCTGTCTAGCTGAGTTTTTAAAGCAAAATAACCACCTATTTTTGAGATGAATATTGTCTCCAGAATGCCAAAGTTTGTTTTCTTTTTTATACTTTTATTATCCTATGAGAGTATTGTTACACATCAGCAGGTTTGCAAAGTATTTAAAAGCTAAAGATATAATGAACTATTAAAATCACAATAATGATACAAATACAGAATTGTCATGTTGTACTTTAAGTAATCCTAATAAAAATATTGATAAATACACCTGGGAGGTGTAGCTCAGTAGATTGAGCTCCAGACTGTGAAGCAGAGGGTCGCTGGTTCGATTTCCACTCAGGGCAAATGCCTGGGGTTTGGGCAAGGTCCCCAGTGCAGGGCACGTAAGAAGCAACCACTCTTTCTCCCTCTTCCTCCCTCTCTTTCTCCCCCCTTCCCCTCTATCTAAAAATAAATAAATAAAAATCTGTTAAAAATATTGATAAATGCAAATCCCAAATGACTTACAAAAACAGACAAACAACTTTTGGCTTCCAAAGTTTTGTGGGTTGGAGTTGTATATATATGGAGAGAGGCTGTTCAGTTCCTTTGTTTGCTCACAGGCATTTCTCTGAAGGCTAGAATTACATTGCAGTGTATGTGCACAAAGGTGCAAGCACCCCATTACTGAGGAGGTAGTAATCATTTCTTGTTAACATTCTTTTAAGATTTCACAAATGCTTATAACTTAAAAAAAACTCCTCCAATTCATTTAATAATGATTTTATCAATTGTGTTAGCAACTTGCTGAAAAAACACTGTTGCCATGGTTTTCAGACTTCAGTATGCAGAGCAATCATCTGGGAAGTTTCATGAATGCAGATGTCGTCTTCCCACACGTCTGACATCTGATAGGGAGGCGAGGAACTTGCTCGGCGTAAACTCCCCAATATATTTAATGAATGTGATGTGTAGGCCACACTCCTCTTCTAGGAATATGGGTGGGCAATTTAAATGATTTCCAAGTGCAAGATGATTCATGTTAGTCATTCCAACCACCAAATGCGGTATCTTAAGACTCTCTTGATCTTTCAATTGAAATCATAATAATTCACTTAATAAACATAACGTTTTCTTAAAGAAGTAATATTGTATTTTGAATATGTACTAAAATATGTATAATGATGATTTATAATATCTTATAGTACTTTAAAAGAAAAAAGACACTTTAATATATATCATTAATTTTCACTTCATCCTGAACAATGTATTCCTACGGGGCTGGTAGGAATAATTTAAGATAATTGAATTATGTAGGTTTTCCAATAGATCAGCAAATTGAAAGGAATGCTAGCTACCAACAGTCAGACTGCTCCAAAGTCACCTTACAACCTAATTTTAAAACCAAGATAATGTTTTTGACTGACGTAAAGCTTTTCAGAAAAAGAGGTTCACCTTTGAAAAGTCAGAGTCTCTGTGCTATGTTGGGACTTACTCATCGTGATTTGAACAGAAGCGCAGATTGGAAAACCTGCTGTTCCCATGTGGTTAGGGTCAAGGCTGCAGGTGAGAAAGTGAAACTGGAAAAGTCCAGGCCTGTTGTCAAAGCCCCTACTGTGCGATCTCCCCTCCTCAAAGTCTGATCTACTGATACTTTCTCAGAGGTTTCTATGACTCTCGGTCTAGATAAACTTTCTTTTGATCCTTATTTGTCTGTATTGCATTTACCACAATTGTAATTACATAACTTTTAGGGCTAATTATTTAATGTCTGGATCCCTAGTAGATTGTGAGTAACTCAAGGACAGGGATTGCCTTTGATAAGCACTATTAAATTAAGGCCCTAGCCCTGTGGTCTGGCAGAGAGGCACCTGATACATACTTGTTGCATGAGGGAATGAAAAGTAAAAAAATATCTGATTGGAAAAGCCCCAGTGTTTTATATTTACAAGCATCAAAATATATTTGTTGTATGGCAGGTGGGTGGGTGAGCTTGGACTGATTTTGAAAAGCAATATTAGGAAGTTCCACTCTATTCACTACATAAATGTGGGTGGAGAGAGTTTGAGGCTGTAAAGTTAGCTGCAAAAATGCTGATTGAGGAACACTAGAAGCATAAAAAATGTGTCATCTTTTAAAGTATCTAGGGTGTCTTACTGATACTGTTTTAAGATGGAGTTGAATTAAAAAAACTATTTGTTCAAAGGGAATGATGAGTGGAAAAAACAAGCTAATAATCTCACAATATGTCTGGGAAAGATACATCACATCATAATGTCAAAACCAAGGCTAGTAGGAAGGTGTGCATGGGAAAATAAGCCAAAGCCACAAGAGCAACACGCCTGATAATGCTGCACAATTGCTTTACTAATTGGCACACTGCAGAGAGTTCTGTAATTTGGATGTCTAAGGCAGATAGTCAAAGTCCTAAGGTTTTTTTTAGTCCTTTTATATTTCTCTTACATATTTGGTAAGATTTGTATCTCTCACACTGAGTCTCAACCAGGTTTTTTAAAAAGAGGAAACTGGTTTCAATCTTATCTTCAAACTTAGTTCTTCTCAACTGCAGGGTTGAGGAGTTGGTATCAGGGAACAGAATTGGGTTTGGGATGTGCCCTATTATTTCCAAATGAGGACCTCTCTTTACTTGACTGAAGACCTCCTGCTCCTGAATAATTTATCTGTTTAGACACTGATTAAGCACACTAAGTCAGAGAGCATTAGGAATCTGCCAGCTACTTTGGAAGCTTCTGGTGCTGACTCAACAGTGCCGTTCACTCAGACAACTGGGTTTCAGCTTTAGATCTTTACTATTAAGAAGCATGTGAAGCAAAGATAAGTGTTTCAACCTTTGTATTCTACATTGGAGGCTTTGGTAGTTAATGGAAAGGGATCTGGGGTGAAACTTGTCAGGTTAGTGCCTCAAGTCTATCACTTTGTATTTCATGACTTTGGAAAAGTGACTTAAACTCTGTAGCTAATATTCCAGAACTGTAAAATGCAGTAGGAATAGTGTTGTTAATAAGTATTGATATGAGTTAATTATGTAAACTGTTTTTAAGAGCATCTGGTACTAGTAAAAACTACATAAGAGAACTTTTATGATTAGTAGCTGTGTATACTCATATACTAATGACCAAAGAAATGAAAAAGTTGAGTAAAAGATACTTGCAACTTTCTAACGTGATGCTCTAACATTTAGAGTTCTTTTTCAGGAGAGGAAGAAATGGTCTTTTAGTTTGTTACTTAACTCTGTTTCCCCCTCTTCGGCCATGTTGCTTCTCTTCTTCCCTAGATTTGCTCTTTTGGAAAAGTCTCCTCCTTAAATTGATGTAATTTAGGTAGTAACATAACTCAGAGGTGCTTTTTTGTCACATTCATACTTGATGATAACTGCAGCATTTTATTCCTAGGTAGAAACCTACAGTTAAATTTGGGTGGCTCCCAAGTTTTTGTTAGTGTGGACTACATCTGCTTTATAGATGTAAAGCTCGATCTGCTACGTAAAGAGTTCTGGGACCATAAATAATATCTGGAATCATTGTCTACCTTTGTTATTCTTTTCAGTCCGTTGCTCTTTAAAATTCTTTAGTGGTGATTTTTATGCTGTCTTCACAGGTACATAAAATAGTTAAGAAACTTTTTCCCAACACAAATCAATTTTTTTACCTGTATAAGCTGAGAGTGGAACTTGAAATGCGTTGCATGCCTGACTCTAATTAATGTTACCTGTACGTCTCTTCTTTCCCTTGAGCAACATCCCAAGGGAAGTCTTCCCATTTGCCTTTATTGTTTTTCCTCTGCAGGGACTGATGCTCTTCAGTTTCGATCTAAGCATGTTATGGTTTAAATCGCTCTCTCTCTCATATTTCTTTCTCCCTCCCTACAGTTTATTGCTTTTGCTTCTTTGTTCTTCATACTGGTTTCAATCACAACGTTTTGCCTGGAGACCCACGAAGCTTTCAACATTGTTAAAAACAAGACAGAACCAGTCATCAATGGCACAAGTGTTGTTCTACAGTATGAAATTGAAACGGATCCCGCCTTGACATACGTCGAAGGAGTGTGCGTGGTGTGGTTTACTTTTGAGTTTTTAGTCCGTATTGTTTTTTCTCCCAATAAACTTGAATTCATCAAAAACCTCTTGAATATCATTGACTTTGTGGCCATCCTACCCTTCTACTTAGAGGTGGGACTCAGCGGGCTCTCGTCCAAAGCTGCTAAAGATGTCCTTGGCTTCCTCAGGGTGGTAAGATTTGTGCGGATCCTGAGAATCTTCAAGCTCACCCGCCACTTTGTAGGCCTGAGGGTGCTTGGGCACACTCTGCGAGCTAGTACTAATGAATTTTTGCTGCTGATAATCTTCCTGGCTCTGGGAGTTTTGATATTTGCTACTATGATCTACTATGCCGAAAGAGTAGGCGCTCAACCTAATGACCCTTCAGCTAGTGAGCATACACAGTTCAAAAACATTCCCATTGGGTTCTGGTGGGCTGTGGTGACCATGACCACACTGGGCTATGGGGATATGTACCCCCAAACATGGTCAGGAATGCTGGTGGGAGCCCTGTGTGCTCTGGCTGGAGTGCTGACAATAGCCATGCCAGTGCCTGTCATTGTCAACAACTTTGGAATGTACTACTCCTTGGCAATGGCAAAGCAGAAACTTCCACGAAAAAGAAAGAAGCACATCCCTCCTGCCCCTCAGGCAAGCTCACCAACTTTTTGCAAGACGGAATTAAATATGGCCTGCAATAGCACACAGGGTGACCCATGCCTGGGCAAAGACAATCGACTTCTGGAACGTAGCAGATCAGGTAAGGCACAATTCCACATGCATGCCATTAAGTACTTTATAGACAAGTATGTCCCTTAGGTAGAAGGCGATCATTCTCATTTTCTGCTAATGTTCATGAGTTTTCAGTTCTCCTGTTCACAAAACCTGTGTTTGTGTCAGGCTTACAGGTAGCGAGATTGTAGCTTTTCTAAATGAATTCTAAGTAGAAGTCTGTCTAGCTGGTCTGTAGAGTTTTCCTGCTTCAGTGGGAATGTCCTTTGCTGATGGTGCCAATATTTTCTTTTGCCTGTGTGTTGCATTTGTGCCAATGTTTCTTTGTTGCCCTGCACGATGTGATGGTATGATACTGGCCATTTTCCATCCTTCATCCTCAAAATGTTGATCCCCATATCATTTGGCTTGATGTGTTTGTCTCAGTTTTATCTCTGCCACATGGGGCCATGCATTTGCACCTTACACGTAAGAAACAGTTACTTAAGAAGAATGGATGTTTACATTTCAAAGGCCTAAACATCAAAGAGGTGATATGGAAGATAGCCCTTTTAATAACAAAGGTCTTCCCTAATAATATTCTGGAGAATTAATTACATTTCATTATTCTCAAATTAGGTAGTATATCAACATCATTTCTTTGGATTGGGCAAGGTGCTGTATAATAAACTCACCACTATTCTGGGGATAACTGATCTGCTTTTGGCTAATCAATGGCAATGTTGAATTTCTCTGTGGGATTTCATCTTTTATCCACTATGCACTGGGCTCTCATCCCTCCCATAACTGGATATCGGATGATTTACTGTCTGACATTAGCTGAATTCCTGCTCCTCTCCATTGCCATAGATAACCTGGAATAGATGGACTCGATTGACTGGCAATTGACCTTCAGTTTGCAGGAGTGATCATCAGTAGTTATCACCTCTAGTCTATTATGTCTGGTACTGGTAAAATAGTTTTAGGTTAAACAACTTAATTACCCTTTAGCACACTATAAAAATTTAAGATATATATATATATATATTCACTATAACTTGGTTACATGTATTTTTTTCTTATAGAAAAGTGATTTGTGATAATCCCACATGAATCATTTTGCATAATTTAGAAGTCATCAATTAAACAAAGCAAACAAGGAAACAAACAAACAAAAAAGGCAGGCGACATTTTCATAGGCTTTCTCCTTAGTTTACAAAAGTTTTTATGGAGTAAATAGGAAAACGTGGCTGGAGCTGAACTCCTTTTTAAATATTTTACTCACAGTCCTTATATTTAGTCAGTAGATTGCTCTGCAAATTCTGTCAATGTATATCGGAAACTGTTAGGCCAAGAGTGTCTTTAGGAAAGTTGACATTTAGTTGGTGGTGCTGGCCTCATCAGACTGTTCTCAGAGGACCTGCGCCTTGGGAAGGGCGTGGAGCAAGAGCACACCCTCTCGGCCCGGGGAGCATTGTTATAACAAGCTGGTACCAGGTGGATGGGTTGTGACTGTCTTTGGCAAGCATACGGAAGCAAACAGTTCTTTCAAGGGCATTTGGAGAACTTGACCTTGTTTTAGTATGTTCAAAACTATTTGCTCACTTCAAACTATAGAACCTGGATACAAAGTTTGTGAGCTTTGGGATTATTTTTATTATGATTTATGGGGAAGACTACTTCCAGAAAATAATAAAACTTTGTGTCTTAAACAGCTGCAAAGACAGATACTTACTTAGTTTTTTCTTAAATAGGCTCCACTTAAAATTAAAAAAAGATTCCTTTTCATAGTAACTAGATTGCATGTCAAAAACTGTAAGATATTTGTATTTTCCTTTATTATCACACTTACTTTGAATTCATATTAGTTTTGTGAAAGTAAATTTCTTATTAGATAGAATTGAAACTTCCCAAAGAACATTTTTATCTCTTTCAATACATTTCTGTTTTTTGGTCCATGTAAATTTTCATGGTGAGTGATGAAAATCTTTTTCTTATCCCGATGTGATTATTCTGTTTTGTATACCGAGTGACTGTACTATGGACATTCGGTGTAAACTCTTTGTACTGTCTGTCTCATTTCCTCATCCATCACTGTCTGTCATTGGGCCTGGTGCTGTGACCAGTGTTATCAGGTGATGACAGTTCGGGACGTGAGCCGTCATTGTCACCCCCAGAAAGGCTCCCCATCAGACGCTCTAGTACCAGAGACAAAAACAGAAGAGGGGAAACATGTTTCCTACTGACAACAGGTGATTACGCGTGTGCTTCTGATGGAGGGATCAGGAAAGGTAGGCATGCATTCGGTCAGATCCTCGCAGGTGACTTAGAGCTGAAGTGCTGCAAATATACGAAGTGATGTAAAATGCTTTTTCATTTTCTAGGAAAGACTGCACATAGTGCTCTTTTCCAATTCTCATCTCATCTTTTCTCATAAACATTAAAAATATGTGTAACAGTCTACTTGGCTGTCACATCTGAAAGTCATTTCCTCCCTTCCTCCCTCCCTCCCTCCCTCCCTCCCTCCCTCCCTCCCTCCCTCCCTCCCTCCCTCCCTCCCTTCCTTTGTTTCTTTCTGATTTTCTCTATACCTTTATGGGAAGAACTGTAATGGAGTATTTAAAAATTAATTCATCTAATTGTTGAGTAGCACTCTTCAAAAGTTATCTTTTCCCCCCACAACTAATGAAACTCACTAATGGCTCTATGCATATAATCGATAATTAATTGATGATTATAAAACAATAAGTTTTTTTCCAAAGAAAAGCACTAAGCAGGCTGTGATTAAGTCTGTCACCCAATGTTTGGGCATGTCTTTGCTCTGGTTTACATGAATGTTAGAAGGTTGAAAAGGTACAAGGTCCTTGGCCGTCTAGAACATGGTGCCTAATCGCTTGAAAGGCTACTTATGTATTTATAGAATGTGATTACCTAATTTCTCTTCAGGGTAATAATAATTTTAAATTTATTACTGTTTTCCTACCCACACAGAACTGTGCCTGGTGCATAGAAAATATGTTGAATGTATAATTTTGTTGGGCCAGCATCTTGGTTAAGAAATGTAATGTAATGCTGAAGCTTCTCTCCCCCACATAGTTCGGTTTTCCCAGACTGGGCCTTTGGACCATTTCCTGGGTGCTGCTTTTTGTCTTTGTTTTGCATAAACTTTACAGATACCAGGGCATTTGAGCCTCTTTTTCATCCTTAATAATTAGTTTTATTACATTTCCCATCCTTGTCAGAGTGACAATGTGCTCCTATTAAATCCTGCTTTGATAGGTCTAGTTGCTTTATTGACATGGTTATTTTCTTTGTTTATTGACAGAATGGAAAAAGATTTATAATAATTCTTATGCAATGGATTGAATTTAAATGAAAAGCCATTCCAAAACTATTCACATTCGTGCAACTGAATTTTAAAAATATTGTGCTCTTTGCTATTCATTGCAGTTTCTCCCTATTGAATGTTACCATTTTGAGCCTCTGATATTTATTTTGTGATGCCCTCTCTCTGAAATACCTCATTACCCTTGTCACACTTCTGTTTTATTTCTTTTGAGCATTTTACATCATCTTGTCTCCATGCCTTTGAGTCTCAGAAGACAAAGGACTCTTTTTTTGTCTCTTCAGTATGCAGTATTTTAAATCCTTCTTCATTCCAATTATTTCCATTCTCTGCATCTATTCTTTTTGCCAAAATGTATTTCAGTCATTTGAGTATGTTTGATTGCTATTTAACATATAAATATTGTTAAAACAATTTTTAAATATTTGATAAAGATAGTTAATATCCTACTATAGCACTTGAACAAGAAATATGTACATACATTAAATAATCATAATAATATAGAATAATACCTTATGTAGAACAATATTTTAAGATCATTATATATCTTAGCTCACTATATAGTATATATAATACATGTATATGAGTATATATGTATATATGTATTTGTATGTATTGTGTAGTTAAATTTATATACGTTTTTAACATATTCATGAAATGCAACATGCGATATTTATATTACATGCTTAAGACCTTGTTTTTTATGTAAGACTATTTTGAATATTAAACTGTCAAAGGAAATCACATATGAAACTTTGTAAATTATAAAGCACTATGTAAACATAAAATTTTCTTGTAAACTGGCAAAGTTTCATGAGCAAAGCAATTAATAAGATATTTAGTTTGTATGAAAAAGTTATGCATACAATCTTATTTCACAAATACAAATTTTCTTTATCAATGGGAAAAATTTTGAAAATTTATTTATGACATTTTATTCTTTGTCATTTGTCACCATAATCAACTTCTTTTTTCATTCTTGTTTAATTCTTTTGCAGCTTTGTGTTTTTCACCTAGGTCTGGTAACATTTCTGGCTAACTTCACTTAATCTCCTTAGTGTGTTGTCTTGTCATGTTTATCATTGTTTCCTTTTGTGTAAACTATAGATTTCCTTTTATGCAGATGTAGGTTTCTTCTATTACTCATACTCAGATGTTTATTTCCTATATGATCCCCCCTTTTTTCCACTTTTCAAATTAGTCTCTCTACTGATATGATTTTAGAGTTCTGAAAATTCTCTACCATCTAGATGAAAAAGTTATTGGATTCCCTTTGAATTGTTTTTCTATCAACAGATATGAATACAGTTGAGCATGCATTAAGACACCTTATAGATTCCCTAAAAGAGTAAACTCTCTGTACTTAGAACCCATGATTTTATTTATGCAGTAGCTTTTAGGAAATCCACATTATTGGAAACAAAAACATACCCATTATTAGTACATAGATAGGCAGTTTCAATATTGCCTCAAATAAACACTTGTTCTTTAGAACTATATAAAATGCACACCATGTATTTAGATATTAGTTCAAAGTAACATGTAAATATAACTTATTTTTTAAGTTATATTTTAATAGAAGTTTGGAAAATTTTTTCACAAATTTTCTAATCATAAATCGACCTGCAGAATAAGGAAAATATATTTATATGAATAACATAATTTTCCTAATAAAATACTTGTTATTAAATTAGAATGCAAGCCCTTTCAAATGAACAATGAAATTATAGTTATTAAAATAGGATTTATAAACAAAATAGATAATATTTATGTTAAAAACTTTTCAGAAAAATAATAGAACATTTAGAACTGCAGTCAAGATTTACATGTAACCAGTATGATTCATATAAAACTGTCAAACAGATTTTTACCATTTTGTAGGTCAGGGGGGAGCATGGAGATTGTGGAAGGTGTGCATTTTTATGAGGATGATTTATAGGTAGTAACGACCCCTTCCGGCCATGCATATTCACAAGTTTGCTTTTCATCAAACCCAATCAATGTTTATGATAAAGTTTACATTTTCAGGTGACACAGTCAAGTAGGATAAATTATTCTTTCAGAAATTTCCGAAGTTATATTTTCAATCACTTTACCAAAGAGAGGTAATCAGTAGCCCTCCAGGCACATGAAGGTCCCTATGTGAGCATAACTCACCTGGAATTCTTTTTTAATGATTTAAGGCATCCTCCCATTAACTACGCCATCCTTCACCAGAGGAGAGAGAGTAAAGTACATACCACCTTCCATGTTTTATAGCTTAGAATACTAACGAAATATATTGGCAGATAATTTTCTCATTAGCAGAATTTATTTCCTGGAGAACTTTACTATAGTTAATGGATGGCATAAATTTTCATCTACAAAATACCAAAGAAGACATCTAGTCTGCTGAAAATTTCTGTGTGTGTATGTGAGGAAGGGGTTCCTCTTCAGTCCAGCCTTACCCTGCAAGGGAGCTGTTACTGCAATGCATACCCATATCCAAATCTGTCCCGGGCCCTTGTAAATTGAACAATCACTAAATCATTTAAATCACCTCTCTGCCAGTGAAAGGGGGAGAGATAGCTATGGTTTCTTTCCCAGAAGTTTCATGAGAGTAAAAGAGTTAGAGAAGGAAGTAGCTGAGTGGAACATAAGGAAAAACACCAGGCCCACTTTCTTTCTAATAGAGTCATCAGGCACGCTGAGGCGGATCAGGGCCCAAGGAGTGTGCCATCCATCTGAGGAAGGCAAGATGCGCACTGGAATTGTGTCTATTTGCTCAGCCTTGGCTGTCCAACAGAAAATTTCGCTTTCCTGCTGTACCACACTTTTTCAACGGAGCTGTCAAAACATATCTTTCTTAGGCTGTATGACTGCTTTTCTAGTCCATAGTTGCCCTGTTTTCAGGACAGTTGTCCTCTAACTTGACACTAAGTGCTGCCTACCTCATTTAACTGCCTCTAATATTGTCTAATGAAAACTACTACAATATATGAATTCTTCCAAAGGTTTATTTGATAGGGTGTTTCTTTTATTTGTGTTTTATTTGTATTTATTTTTTTGGTGGGGTGTTTCTTGAGTAGTTAGGATGAACTACTGGATTAAAGCTTTTATTCTGTAAGTCCACGAATTTCATTAACAAAAGGTTAAATGCAAAATAATAAAAAAAGGTGAATTAAATTAAAATTGTTTTCAATTCCTGACAGAGAAGGCAGCTGAAAACATCATATAAATAAACTTAGAGTTTAACTCACTGAAATTATGACTCAATTTATATTTCATTCATTTTATTTTTTCTTTACATTTTTATTGAAAATATTAGATAAGGACATTCATTCTACATCATTTGGATAATGGCATCAAATGTCATTATTTAAGAATCATTCTTTTAACTCCATAAAGCTGGAAGATTAAATATGCTATGAAAAGAGTTATCCATTTAAAGTTAAGCATGCTTTAACAGCTTAGTAAATACTAAAACATAAAAAGAGGAGACATAATCCATTTTTTTCAGGAACATATTTTGAAATTTAGTAATATTAGCCAAGTGTATATCTTACTTAAGTTGCTTTGCCTAACTAATTCTAAAAGAGTTCTGGTATTGCATAGAGCAAAATTACATCAAAACAAAGAATAATCTGGGAAAGAATAGATTTTGAAAGTATTGCTGCTATAATTTGTGATAGGTGGTTTACTCTTTGGGAATGACAGCTACAGTGAAATTCAGTTTTTCTAGAGTTAAAAATTGGCTAAATATTGAATTCTTTGTAAACACATTTCATTTTGAGCTCAAAAATAGGACTTTTGATGATCTTGCATGGTATTGTTTTCCTGTGTCTATTTTCTGGTTGAATCCAACTTATGTCTGTGCCTTTTTTCATAAAAGGATATGAAAAATCCCGAAGCTTAAACAACATAGCGGGCTTGACAGGCAATGCTCTGAGGCTCTCTCCAGTAACATCACCCTACAACTCTCCTTGTCCTCTGAGGCGATCTCGATCTCCCATCCCATCTATCTTGTAAATCAAACTGCATCAGTCGGCTAAATTGTATTAATTCGAGTACAGTCTACTCCATCATGGGAACAATTACATGTAGAGTTACTCCAACCTCCATTAACACAGTACAAATCTGCATGACGTTTTCTGAAGTCAGGAATGCCATTTGGGTAGTTACTGAATCTTATCTTGGCTTTAAAGATTATCTAAAGTAGTGGTATTACTTCTCCATATTAATTGCCCTGATGTCCTTTCACAATAAAATGACAGATAGTATCAGATATTGGCCAGTACACTAATATGTAAACATATTTTCAGGGAGATATATTTAAAACAGTGTGCTTCCAAATGCTAACCACTTCATGGGACCATCATTTCTGTGACTTTCTACACCATTCTGAAGATGTCTGGGATCCTATCTTGCTTTCATACCACATGACTTCGGTCAGCTCATTTGCATGGACCATCTTGTCTCTGTCACCTGAAAGCAATGGCACAGAGTTCAGGGACCCTGGAGGGCTCGGGATACTTGCATCCAACTGTCCTACTGATATGAAACTGGTCGACTGTTCTGCATGTTGAATGGTGGGGCAGGTGGGCAAATTTTCTCTTTGACATTTTTTCCTTTATTGTTTGAAAGAAATATTTGTCTTAAACAGCTTAATTTTTTGATTGATTTACCTTTCTTCAGAATTGCTATATTGGAGTTCTGAATGTCTCTGGTTGTTTGCACACAGATAACTGCAAAGAGGTTGTCATTTCTGGTTACATGCAAGCCGAGGCCAGATCCCTGATTTAATGGCTTGGGGAAAGGCACAAAACCTGAGAGACAGGTCACTGCCAGCCAGGCTTGCGTTGTGGAAACAGGAATTGCTGCTTGATACTTGAGTCATTTTTTGAAAACCCCAGGATTTGTCATTTTCAGAGGCAGAGTGCCAAATATTTTCAAAAGCTCTCATGCCTTTTTTTAAAACCTCCTTCCTTTATTTTCATCTATTAATTTTTGTGCAAACATCAAAGAACATCATTGCTCACAGGAGGCTTTCTTGACCAGCCTTTCTTGATCAGATTTTCAGTCAATGTTTTATCAGGTGCTTTGTCCTGAATGTTGTTCTTTCTGTCTGTGTGTCTTAGCTCCCTGTCTTAACTGTATATGCCATTTGTCTCCATAAAGCACAGAAATGCCTGATAAGGTGTTCATGGTTTTAATACTGGGCCTTTTCCCATCCCCCTTGCCCTCCTTGCTACTTGGAACAGCTTCTCTGTTTTGTGTATGAATTAAGGATGCCCGATAGACTAAGTTAATCCATACTGTGAACCTTTCTGGTAAACAGAATTTAGGCAGCAGCAATGTCACCGTTACCTTTGGTTGCCTGCTGCGGTGTCAAATTCTACTACCTACCAACCAGCACTCATCTCTACACTCTAATCAAACTCTAGGGAGTCTTATTCAGTCCAAGTGGAAGAAATTCTGTTTACACATCCCCACCAATGCAATAGCAACAGTGTGTCTGGTGTATTGGATGTGTGAGGGAAGAAAAATGCCATAATATGTATTGAGGGATAAACCACATTTCTAAGTCATTCGGGATCATTGAGATTGTTGATTAACTTCTAATTCTCATGTTTATTTTTTGTTAGGAGGACAATTATCACTTTTAGTCTTGGCCACGTAACTTATATTACTCTAGATCCCTAAGTCCTAGAGCATGACCTGCATGTCAGAGATCTTGTACAGCAATGTATTTACCCAGACGTACCCATCTGATGTTTAGAGATTCAGTGATCCTCTTGATAACACCACACATAGAAAGCTATGACTATTCAGAGCTCTATGGTAAAGGAATTATAATACTCTACTGTCTGGTGCTGCTGTTATTGACTGCAGTGTTGTACAAAATTTATCATGGACTTTTGACTGCTGAAAAAGGGCCAGTGGAATTTAGCCATATCAAGGACTGTATTGGAAACAGACTTCTACTGCTGAATGTGCCCTGATGTGACCAGGATGCACTTGGAAGAAGTCCCCACGTCTTCAAGAAACATTTAAAGCTCGTAAAAGGATTGTGACTGGAACTCATTTGGTGCTCTCCGTATGAGTGGTTTGCCTGTGGACTGGCCGGTGTCCGTGAAACAATTGTAAATACCAACATGTGTGCACGGTCAATAATTTTGGCCATCTCACATCAAAGGAAGCCAAATTCATGATCCACATCTCCAAAGCTTCAAGTATGGCCCATACCTCTGTGAACTACCGCTGGTGGGCCTGCGGGAGATTGTGCTGGGAATCATACGGGCAGCGATTTTGGTGTAGTATCTATTGGTCTGTCTTAATTTCTCTTATTTCCCCTTTGTTGGTTGGATTCATGAACATTGTATCATTTTCTTATAAAGCGCTTATGGTATCAGCTTTTCATATTATGTTGTCAGATTTCCAGTGCCTATTTATTAAAACTGACCTAGTTTTAGTCACGTAGTTGTTTAGTTCTAGAAAATCACCATGACAAAAAAACACACCATTATTCATAGTTTGTCTTTTGTCATTGTTACCTCAATTATAAATATTATAGAAAAATTCTGGCAATGAGAGTATTTTTTTACTAAATGACCAAGGAACAATGTCAGTATATAGTAGAATATTAATCAAATTATATCCTAAATTGTATATTTTGCATAAAAGAGATATTCTTCGATGAATTACTTTTTGGTGAGTTTTGTGGCAAATGAAGCTTGTATTAGTCTTTAAAACTGTTGTGGTTGAAACTGTGTAAGTATTCTTCGTCTTGCTTAATCAGTATTTCTAGGCTCTATTAGTTCCCCTGGGATTCTGAATATAACATATAACCTAGTTATGAACCCCTGTATTGTGGACCTTTTGTGAAAAGTTCAAGGTGCATGCCCAACCTTGGTGATAACTGTGGAAATGTAACTCACTGAAATGGAGAATAAAAGACACCTGAGCTGGGGTAAGCTTGAATCCTATCTGATTAAATTATTCATTTTTTTTTCTGAGCTCCTCTCTTTACTATTTTTATGCTTCATGGCAGCAAACCAGACACTCACACATGAGAAATTGGATGGAAGAGTGTAGAAATATCTACATAGCTCTCACTCTCATTCAACTCCCAAGCATGTAGCCAGCGTTTTACTCTTCTAAGTATTTTGTCTGTCTAAATTTCCTTATACTTTGAAATGGCCAAATTATGAATTATTATGGTATTTGATATCTATACGGCATTTTATGAATTGTACTTTCCAACTTAATCATCACCGAAGTTCTGAAAGTCAATATTTTTATTGGTGATTGAGCCAAAGGTCAGAGAGGCAGAACTGTTCACATATACTTTTGCCATAGAGAATCTTCCCTGGCATAATTTCTCATAGTTTAAATATTTACTGAGCCTGTAGTGGTAAATGCCTTACCTCCCAAAGGTGGCCTCTGTCTCCCTTTTGGGGAACAGGCCTTTGTGTCAGCAGCAGACCTCACGTGGTGGCGTTCCACTTATATTGTGGGGTGAATGTGGACATTTTCCCTGTAACATTCTGTGAAACCATAGGGTGAGGGGAAGGGAAAATGATAGAGAGAAATCAGGTTGATGAAGGACACATTCTCCTGTTGTGAATCCACAGAATCTTTTCTATGTCTAAAAATGCTCAGTGTTGGTTTTTAAGGGACTGTTAGGAAACTGAGCTCAGAAAAGGGAATCCGTCTAAATATAATTACCGGTGATATGTTTTTATTGATGATGACAGAATGTAGGATTTACTGTAAAAATATGTATGGGGGGAAAGAATATGTCTTAATACATGATAATGTAATACTTTTAAATACATGAGAAATTAAGGAGTTATAAATGAAAACCAAAAATATTCATTTTATCTTTGAAATAAATCACAAGACAGACTAATGGCATAGCAATGGTGAACTTGTCTTAGAGACAATGACTATATAAAAATGCTGTATTACAAAGCAGCAACTCTAGAGAATGTATAACATGATTGAAGACAGTTAGAGCTAAATGGATCTTTAAAATATTAAAGTTCCTAGTGGTTTATAATGATTAAAATAAGTGGTTTAAATTTTTTCCTTATTTAAAAAAATTAACTTTTTTCCTTCCAATTTTCCTTGCCAAAATTTAATTCATTGTTGACATGCTTGATCATTATTAAAGTATGGGTGTATACTAATTTCTAACGTGGATTCGGTATTGTTAATATTGAGCATAAATTTTATAATTTCTTGTTCTTCTTAAACTAACTCTATTCTGAGGCCATGATATTTTTATTATTGTCTAAAATTATTTTATTAATATTACATAATTTTCTTTTGTATTTATTACACTATCATGTCAAAGTGTGGACCCTTGACTATGCATTTTAAACACTAAAATTTTTGAAGACTACGGTAGTCTCCTAGAATCCCAGGTAACCTAATATTCATTTTTTAAATAGACCTTATTTTTTAGAACAATTTCAGGTTCACTGCAAAATTGAGCAGAAAGTAGAGAGAGTTCCGATCCAACCCCCCAAAACCTCCCTATCAGCTCCCACACCAGAGTGATGCACATGTTACCCTCATGAACCGACACTGACACATCACTGTCACCCCAAGTTCTCAGTGTCCGTTAGGGGTCACTCTTGGTCTTGTGCACTCTATGGGTTTTGAGAACTGCATAAGGAAGGGCACCCAACCCTGTCGTATTGCACAGAATAGTTCCACTGCCATTGTCACTGCAGGTCCTCTGGGCTTCACGTATTCATCCTTTTTTTCAGCTATGGATCTTTTTACTCTCCTCACAGTTGTATTTTTTCCAGGATGTTACATAGTTGGAATCATACAGTATATCATTTTTTCAAATTGGCTTTTTTTCAGTTAGTAATGTGCATTGGAAATTTCCCCATGTCTTTTTATGGCTTGATTGCACATTTCTTTTTAGTGCTTAATAATATTCCATTGTCTGGATGCACCACCGTTTTCCCCGCCACCTACCGAAAGACAGTTGGCTGTTTCCAAGCTTTGATGAGCATGAATAAAGTTGGTTAAACGTCTGTGTGCAGAATTTGTGAGTATGATTGAGTTTCATAGTAATATCATGGGTTTTGGCAATGATCATTTATTAAAGGGCTGTGATTAAATTCAAAGTATAGAAATGACCATGAACTGAATCACTATAGATCTTATAAATCTCATGTTTTTATTTACTTTCTGGTTAGTTAGTCACTTACTAGCAGGCTAGTCAAGTATCTTTAGTAGCAAAGTCTTTTTTTTTCAATTTTGGAATCAAATTTTATGTACCATTGTTTGTAAAATAGTGTGTCTTATAAACCATGGAAGTTATATCTTTATTTTTCAGTGTATTTCTCATAATAAAAATAATGAGACAAAGGCATTCCATGTAACTTAAAAATCAAGTAATTTGTTTTGGGGAGGAAATAAAAATTCTACCTTTGTTAAATTTGGTAAACATTAACAATTTTTCCTATAAGCCAGGAAGCAATATTATCACACCAAAATAGTTTGGCACTAGTGAAAATGTTACATTTCTCTTAGGAGTAGTGGGGTGACACAAAACAGCTACAAACGATACCATATGTAAAGGATTCTTAATATAATTTAAATGTGGCAGTACCTGAGGCCTTTCCTTGATGAATGGCCTCAACAGGTTTTTTTTAATATCCTTTTTTAAAGATTTTATTTATTTATCTTATAGAGGGGAAGGGAAGGAGACAGGGAGAGAACATCAATGTATGGTTGCCTCTCGTGGGTCCCCTGCCGGCCACTGGCCCGCAACCCAGGCATGTGCCCTGATGGGGAATCAAACCAGAGACCCTTTGGTTTGAAGGCTGGCACTCAATTCACTGAGCCACACCAGCTAGGGCTCAACAGTTTTATTTATTTTCTTTTGAGATTCTTTAGCAAATATCTAAAATCTTATGTAAATCGCATTATTTCTTGATGGCAAAGAGAAAGCTACGGTAAAGACAAATCTGAAGACTATGGTTTCTGATCAAAAACAAAACAAAGCAAATGAAAACCAAACCTATGATTTTATTGCACAGGATTAAGCATGAAACCACTACCTAAGAAATGACTAGATATATTTTTTTCTATTGAGAGCTCACATTTTCAAGGCACTACTTTAAAGCTCTACATGCTGTTCTCTCCTGTGGCGGTAGCTGTTTCTTTTCCCCCTGGATGCTAGCGGGGTGTCTAAAAACTATGGGGACTCTGGCTGGCTGGCTGGTAGGAAGCTCCAGAATCTAAGAAAATAATGGTTAAAATGTGCACTCCTACATACAGCCGGATATACAGAAATAAAGAAATGGCATACAAGAAAAGGCTTAAGATAAAAAGCCTTGAAAAGTAAATATTGCCTGAAGCAAGATCATGTAGTGTGAAATAAACAAAATGACAAGTCAAAGTTAAAGAAACAGTTGTATAATTCTGCTTCCTAAAGCACGTTAAAATAAATTCTGCCCCAAGGACCAGACTTTCTTTTCACTGGAGACCTTGAAAGGTTTGTGTTGCATAAAATGGGCAGGAGATGAGACTGTCTGTCAGTTTCCACATTCCATAGCGAGGAATGATTTTATACAACTTTATCTTAGGTGTTTTTCAAAAAAATGTTTCTTCTTTTAGTTTCAACAAAGAAATATTCTTCCTTTATACAGGGTCCAGCAGAAGTAAGGTGTGCGTGAGTGTGGTTGGTAGGGTAATAATATGGGTGTAATAATTTTATAGTTTTAATTTGAACACTTCGCCTAAAATGTTTTATGCTGTACTTAAGTGTGAAACTGTTATGTTACTGAGTTGCATGCTTATGATTTTGTAATAAAAAGATTTTGTAATAAAAAAGTCATTATTTGTGCTGGAACTTTTGTTTATATTAATATCGTGGTTAAATACTTTCAGAATCAACTAATAACTGTCAAAATACAAAAATGTCACTGGTTTTCTTCTGTTCTGATTTGTAAAAAATGGATTTGCCCAAGTTTCTGACCTCTTGTTTATTTCAAGAGCACAATTAATGATAGAGTACTACAGACAACATATTGCCTTTTGATGTAAAACTTCTTAATGGCACCAATGAGAGTCTTGAGAGGTACAAGGTTCATTTTCCAAAATTATCTTTTTGTGATTTAGATCTATCTACCTATGTTTTTGGATCTGATCATTTTATGCATAACTACCATAACACTGAGTCTCAAAATATTAAGGTAGAAGAAGATGGTTTGCCTTTGACATCAGCTTTTCTTAGCGCTCAGTGTCCTGGTACTGACATGTGGCTAGTTGGACACAGGGAAGAAAACACGCAGAATGAATACGTAGACAGCATTTGCTGATATGTGTGGATCACTGGAGAACCACAGGCAGAAATTTCTGCAGCCTCACGCAATCCCATCAGATAATCCTTATCTAATCATAGCAGATTAAATATGAGACTGTTTCTTATATTAAGTATGAGGTTGAATATTTTCTTAGGAAACATTGAATTACCATCAATAGCTGGGACAGGATACCTTAACATGCCCTCAGCTCCATTAAGCTTTTTACACATTTCTTCCTGACTGTAGGCCCCTGACTCCCTTGTCTCAGAGCACATACTTTAGGAAACTGCTGTTGTCAGGTCTTTCTCTGCTCCTTGGAAATGGTAAGTCTTCTCCCAGCTCTTGCCAGTTTCACAACCCATGAATGTCTTTCTCCAGGGTGGGAGAGCCATTCCTTTAAAATGTAAAAATTATGAAAGGTGGCACGCACCCCTACCTATCAGTCTGTGGGGAAGTAGGTGCTTAACTTATAAGAAAATGCCAATTAGCAAATGGCCTAATGGTGTCTCCCCTAATGTCTTCCAGAGCTTTCCTACTTGTCACCCCATCACTTAGGAATTCTCCTGCTTTTGTTTCAGCAGAGCTGAGTTCAGCCTCTCTCGGCTATGGCAACAGTCTGGAAAATAATCTGT